TTAGGCAGATTGTTCATAAACTGGAGATAAACAAAGCAGTGAAGCCACATTGATACTGCTCCTGATGGGAATGGCTTCTTAGATCACAAATTGATGGATGTACAACATTGTCTTCTCAAAAGATATTATAGAGAACAACTGAAAACTTGTCATCTTTTTGAATATCAATATGGGACATAACTCAACCAGTGTCCATTCTTACCCACTCATTCATGCAACTTTTAGATGTCTTCATATTGTGCAAGCAATAGAAATTCAATCCCCAGTTGCACAATTTAAAGGGAAAGATAAAGACAGTGTCATTTCCAAGTAGAAGATACCAATCACGCCAGATATCACTGGAAAAATTTATCAGTAAACTAACAAAGAAAGGAAGCAATTTTTTCCATCCTCAGTTTTACCTCAAAATTTTTTTTTCAATGGTTTTATGGATCATCTCAAATTTTGATACCAATCTTTAAGAAAAGAACATTCAGGAAACTAGCAAACAGTGAAGAAATAACATCAACAATAATGGTCATTATCCCAACTGTTTCCAGGGACTATGTCGACATGATATCATTGTTAAGAGAATACTGAAAATAAAATTAATATTTGATTTTCATGCTGACCCAACTGAAAAAAGAATTTGAAGTGCTTGAAAGTGTAGGATCTTATGGAATCCTACCATCTTTTCTCATCTCTGGAAGCAAACCAGAAGCATATCTTCGAACTATCTCCAGGTAAGCTTCTACTTCATGATCCTCAACATTGAACAGAACTGCAGATCCATACTGGAAAACTACCATGTAACGATAGCAACTCCAATCCCCTTTGACTCCAAGTGCCTAAAGTAAAATATGCATGTCATCAAGAAAATTACCAATCAACCGCATGAAATGCCAAATCTGAGATTAGGCTAGACTTCTTATGAAAATCAAGGTAAATGAAAGAGATAAGTCCAACTGTAACACTTAAATTAAACCCTCAATGCAAGAAATATTCAAACAGCATGGTGCACAATACAACATAGCCAGCCACCTGCAGCATAGATTTAAAAGTGAAGTCCAACTTCCCTCTTATCTTACAAGATCTCAATCTCATCAGTATTTTCCAAAATTGATGTAATACATTCTCAATTAAATGTAAAAAATGGTTACCCTGTGACAATGCTCACAAATATATGATAATGGATGCATTTCTGACAAATTATAGTGACACTAAATACATAACAAATAATATTTCATTATGTAACATGAGATAAAATGATTGAAAAATCAAGTCATTTACAAGCCTAGTAAAGAACTTTAACCAAGTTGAAGGAATAAATTTGTTCTAAATCATCTTACTGTGACTTCTGAAGGAAAATCGCAATATTTGAGGGCAATATAATTTGTTGAGCGAGAAGTAGGGGGGACAACGTTGCTTAAATTTTCAGCTTGCATGCCCTTCAAATCGATACTGCCAAAACCATGAATCTGAGAAGCGGAATCATAAAGAACAAAATAAAACAATACAGAAAAGAAGGGATCCCCAAAAAAAAACACAGGGAAAGAGGAGCTTGTAAGGAGAACAAAAACTACGAAAAAACCTCAAACCCAAGAAACAGTATCAACAAAATGAAGCCTCAAAGAATGAAAGAATTTATTTTTTAGGTGAAAAAGCAATTGGTAATCACAACATCTATTAACGCAAACACAAAACAGATCCAAGAGGGAAGCCAATTAAGTCAGAAAGTAACTATTGAATGAAGACACAAGCGCTAAAAGGCAGAACTCAAGCTACAAGCATGAGCTAGATGTTGCTGGCACTTAGATCATTTTGAGATTCCTCAGCAGACAAGTTGAAAGATAGGAGCCCATGCAGCTGCTAGTCTAACTTAAACCTAGATAGATAGTCTTAGTTCCATGGAAGTTGGAAGCATAAGCTATTTAACTCTAAGTTTATCTTATTCCTGGATAGATAAACTTTGCTACTTACAGGGAAATTGGAAGCTTAAGCTATTTTATTCCAAGGAATGGAATGATTCAAGAGGGTAATAGTAGTACCTCTAACTTTTAAGCTCAATGAGACAGAGAAATTACAAAATATAAGAACAAAAGATACATAATTGTAAGTTTTGAAGGTTAATGCAATATTTAGATGAAAAAGAGAGATTCAAATAAACAAAAGATCATTGCCCTTCCGGTTGTCACGCCTATAAGCCAAGAACTACTCTACCATTTTATGAATCAGCCTTCATGGAAATAAGCCAAGAAACATTGGTGCTATTGCTCAAAGCTGAGCAATTTAATCACAAGATGACTGTATTGATAGGATGCCCACCCCAAACCTTTTTCTCCTATAAAAGTCCATGACTAAGGATGCATTTTATCCAAAAGCCATCCAAGAAACCAATCGGGTAAAGTATAGTCCAATCTGCCAATATCTTGAATAGAAAAAACGGTTTTGATTATCAACCACAAAAGCTAATATTCTAACAGTCAAATGCTCATTCTCCGCCATGCTGGTCTGTATTATGTTAAGAAATAAATCGCACTTTCTATTATTCAAAAGTATCGAGTTGGGAGCTAACATTTCTACATCCCTATCAATTATGTACTTCTATACCCTTTTTTTTCTCTTTAACTACGTCTTTCACTTGTCAAAATGCTTGCACCCACTCTAGCTGAATAACAAATAAGAAACAAGCCGAAACCCAGTACAAACCGCGTATTCATACCACAAAAGAATTCTGAAAAACATCTACGGTTAATTCAAATCACAAAAATAACAAAGGCGACCAACCAACACAGATAAGAAATTCAAAGTTCATTAAATAATTGCCAAGAGTATCGTTTCCATCGGCAAACCTGGTACAGAGAAAGTAGGCTTTGACAGGAATTTTCCCCATTTCCTCATCTTCTTGGGCTCCAAACCCATAGTTATGACACAAATCACGAGACCCAGAATCGGACTCATTGCTATAAACCGAAAGCTGAGACGCGATTGCAGAAAACGACCTTAGAGTGAATAGACGCAGAGATGGGGTTGAAGGCGGATAGAGATTGAGAAGTTTGAGAGAAGGGTAAAGGGTAAGAACAGGTTTAGACGTCCTGGCGATGTGATTGAAGATAAGAGCAGCACCGGCTCTCCATCCACCCATTCACTGTAATAAACTATCAATGCTTTTCCCTTGTTAGGAAGAAGGAAACGGGTCGGTGAATACTTGCAGCGCTCTCTTCTTCTTCTTCTTCTGTGTTAACCGGTGCTATTGCTGGTTCAATGGAAGAAAAAAATCTGTTTTTTCCCGGCGTGGTTCATGAACCTCCAGTTGCCCATGAATTCCCTGCACAAAATGTCCCCTTCTTTACTTGGTGTTATTTATTATTGTTTAAGACCCCTGCAAAGGTTGAGGCTTTTGGGAAGAAAAACGTCCCTGTTTGGATTGAGTTGAACTCCGTGGTATAGTTAATTTTAGCAATGAAAGTAAGAGTGCAGGATCATGCACAGAGAAGCTATACAAGACAACAATCAGTTAGAAACTCTACCAATCAATCTCCCACCGTATTTAGCATTGCAAGTCACTTTCCACGACCAAATGTTATAATTGATTTTTTTTTTCCTTTGTTTTTTAATATTCAAATCCTCTAGAATATTAACTTGGTTACCATAATAATCTTTTTTATAAGAAAAAAAAAAGTATATCTCTACCTTCTTTATTCAGCTACTATTAAACTTCATTTACAGTTCACCAACAATTTAATCATCATTTATATAGTATACAACAATTTATTCATCTACATTCATCATTGCCAAGTTACTACCATCTAAATGAGCTTAAAAAGATTATCATCATTTTAGCACTATATCTAGAAAAGTAAGAACTACATATATATATATATATGATTTATCAAAAAGAGTATGAAATACTATATATTGAAAAGATTATATATTGAAATTAGATATGCACTCTCTCCTAAAAGCGCTAAAAAATGAAGAAATAATACTATTAACAATAGTATATGATTCATTAAAAAGAGTATGAAATGCTATTAAGAGAATTCTATAAAAAGATAAAAAAAAATAGAAGATATATAACGTCAGTTGGAGAGAACATTATTTTTAGTATAATATCTCATCAAAGAATATAAAACAAAATTTAATAAAAGAATAAATTTGTTATAATTCATAAATAAGTTGTAACCAACAGTAGATTAAAAATAAGCTTAAAGTCACCAAGAACGATAGCAATCTTTATAAATTTATTAAGACACTATCATTTATAATTAAAAAAAATTCGCCTCTTCTTTGCTACATGAAATTAAAAGATGAATTAAAAGTTTAAATTGTAACAAGCAACATCGATTTTTATGTGTAGGTAAACCTCTATCAAAAAAACATTCTTATAAATAGTGGCAACTCCTCCCTGTTAAGACGTCTTACTTAAGCAATATATCAATCATAAATATCTACAAAGAAAATAAAATAGATAAACATATATATAAAAGAGTCTATAAAAAAATGAAATAAATAATCATATATATAGAAGATTGGCACACCTCAATGGTGCATTATCATTGAGTCATCATTTTGTTATTATGTCTAACAAGTGTACATGCTAACTTACATTATATTTTATAAGGAAAAAATATTTGAAGTATCGTATCTACTAAATAATTAGTTCTATATTCCCCTAATAAAATTATCTTAATTTAATTATATGCATTTCACACTAATAATTGTCGAATACAATGATGGAAATGAATACCAATTTCATATTATTAATTAAATCAATAAAACATATGTTATAATTATAGAGAGTGTGAACTTAATTACACTCAATATCTTTTTGTTTTATATATCTTATAGGATATTGAATTGAAGGAGTTGATTATGAAGGAAAGACACCTTGTTACATAGTCTTCAACTTATTACATTATAAGGGTTTAGAAAAGTGTAGTACTTTATAGTCGAGGTACATTGCATTACAAGGATCTTTTTTTAAGAAAGAAAGAAGTGAAATTATATTTTAACCCATTATGATTATCTAAACTTGGTCATCACATCTTCACCAATACATTATTGACTTAAATTTTAGAATGTGCTATATTAAATATTATAAATGACTCAAAATTAATTTACAATACATCACAAATATATATTTTCAATAAAACATAAATTCATAATTTTTAAATAAATACGTGATGGTAACCATTAAATCACATTTTTGGGTATTACA